CTTTGTGCTGGGAGATGGAGGTTCAACGTCTTTGGAAACATTGGGGTGGAAACTGGATTTACACCCAAAATGGGCGTTAAGTCAGTGCAGTCTTTGTGACTGAGCAGGCTCTATGCTAAATTTCGCAGTTTCCTTCCCTAAAGGACATCAGTGAACCAGATGAGTTTTTCCGACAATTAGCAATGGATTCGTGATCGTTATTAGGCTTTTAGTTCCAGAATTTTTTTCATTTGAATTCAAAATCCACCGTCTGCCATGGCAGGATTCGAATCCAGGACCCCAGAACATTATCTGGATCTCTGGATTAACAATCCAGCAATAATACTTTAAGGCCATTATCTCTTCCGGTACCCACACTTACACTAATAGTAGCAATTTTGTTAGTGTCAGCAGAGACCTTTAGATTAAAGCCTCTAATCATTAAAGTAGCAATGCTGAAGTCAATGGGGAAGGTAGGAAACAGGGGTGGCAACAGCTTGCACTTTATTTGTAGTCAATAACTTTCTCAGCCTATTTTCAGTTGCCTTCAGTGATCTAGTTAGATATTACTGGCCAGGAAGCACTTGATCCATAACAAGATAGAGCTGACAGGATTTTATTTACACACTGAGATCCTCCAATCCACAGTACACCTGTATCTGAACAACTAAACCCATCTGTTTCAGACAGGAACTCTGGGAAGTGAGTGTCAACGTACTCAGAGAGCAATTACATACAAAAGCTAATGACCTAGTCTTATAATCTTTAAAATGGACAAAGCTATTCCCATTGAGTCTGGTGCTGATAGTTATGAATGAGAATTTTAGATGGTGAAATGACTTAGGAATAGAGTTTTTTTATTCATTCGTGGGATGAGGGCATCACTGTCTGGGCCAGCATTTATTGCCCTTTCCTAATTGCCCAGAGGGCAATTGAGAGCCAACCACAATGCTGTGGGTCTGGAGTCACATGTAGGCCAGAACCAGTAAGGATGACAGAACCAGTAAGTAATGCCCTAAAGGGCATTAATGAACGAGATGGGCTTTTCCAACAATCAACAATGAATTCACAATCATCATTAGACTCTTAATTCCAGATGTTTTTTGGAATCAAATTCCACCATCTGCCACAGCAAGATTTGAACCTGGGTCCCCAGAACATTACCTTGGTCTCTGGAATAACAGTCCCGTGATAATACCACAAGGTCATTGCCACTCCTCATTGGTGATAGTTGTAAACCGGGAATCTGGAAGCTGGACTCAGTAGGATTTGAAGCTCATCATGACCTTGAGCAGGAGGCAGGAAGCAGAATGTGATTTGGGTCCAGGACATGGGGAAATCTTCCCAGTACCTGGATGACATGGACATTGGCAACAAAGTTGGGAAAATCATGTGTGATTGCTAATGTGGACATTCTTGATGTCAAGAACAAAAAGCTTCATTTTCCAATCAAGACTTGATTCTTGCATTTGAGCCACAAGAGGTGTATTTGCATGTCTGGGAACTATAGAATCCCTGCAGTGTGGAAGCAGGCTATTCGGCCCATCGGGACCTGTGAGTCTGACATCGGTGGGGACTAAGTTGTTGTGATTCTGCAAGATAGGATTTACATGCCTTTGGAGAGGCAAGAATGGATTAACAACAGTCAGCATGGCTTTGTGTGAGGGAAATCCTGTATCACAAACTTGGTTGAGTTTTTTGAGGAAGTAACCAAAAAGATTGATGAGGGCAGAGCAGTAGACATTGTTTTAGAATGGGCTTTAGAAAGCCTTCGACAAGGTTCTGATAGATTAATTAGGAAAATTAGATCACATGGGATTCAAGGGGAGCTTGCCAATTGGGAACAAAACTGGCTTGACGGTAGGAGACAGAGAGTGGTGGTGGACAGTTGTTTTTCAGGCTGGAGGGCTGTGTCCTGTGGTGTTCCACAGTGATCGGTGCTGGGCCCACTTTTCTTTGTCATTTATATAAATGATTTGAATGAGATTTTGGGGACACATGGTAAGTAAGTTTGCAAGTGACACCAAAATTGGTGCTAGAGTGGACTGTGAAGAAGGTTATCTAAGATCAAAAAGATATCTTGATCAATTGGGTCAATGGGCTGAGGAGTAGCAGATGGAGTTTAATTTGGATAAATGCAAGGGGTTGCATTTTGGTAAAACAAGCAAGGGCAGGACTTTTACAATTAATGGTCTGGTCCTAGGTAGTGTTGTAGACCTAGGGGTTCAGGTACATAATTCTTTGAAATTTGCATCACATGTAGACAGGATGGTTTAGAAGGTGTTTAATATGCTTGCCTTCATTGATCAGACCTTTGAATATAGGAGTTGGGACATCATGTTGAGGTTGTATAGGACTTTGGAGAGGCCTCTTCTGCAGTACTGTGTCCAGTTCTGGTTGCTCTGCTTTGGAAGGATATTAATAAATTGGAGAGAGTTCAGGAAAGATTTAGGCCAGATAGACTGGGACCTTTTTTCACTGCAGTGTTGGAGGCTGAGGGGTGACCTTACTGAGGTTTATAAAATCATGAGGGCCATAGATAATGTGAATAGCAAGTGTCTTTTCCATATGGTGCGGGGGGGAGTGTCAAAACTAGGGGGCATATATTTATGGTAAGAAAAGAAAAATTTCAAAAGGATATGAGGGGCAATTTTTTTTACACAGAGAGTGGTTCGTATGTGGAATGAACTGCCAGGGGATGTACATTATCTGAAAACTAGTTGCTTGTTCTGTCTTTTGAAGATTTATTTTGGCTTGTATCTGCTGGTATTTACCTCAAAACAACTAGGCTCTTTAACCCCTTTCAATATTGCTTTGCTTTCAAAGATGGACAGTTCCACAGATCTTATTACAAATGTTTAAAATGTTGAAAATTATCCTTGGAGATACTTCAACATTTTTGAATTACAAACGTTCCAACAATTCTGGGGTCCAACATTCTCTTGAAAGTGAAATAAACCAACAGCCACACTGAATATACAAATTAAGTTCAGGTCATTGGAGACTTTGTAGGACACAAAATAAACCTAAAGAATTGTACACATCCTAAACACACTGTGAGGGTTAAATACCAGTGCCTTGAGCCTCTCCTAGTTTCATCTAAATTATATTTCCCTCTGGTTTGTATTGTACTGTGACTGGGAGTTTTGCTCATTGGCAGGATTGTTAGTTTGCAACGCAAGGTGATGCCAAAAGTGTAGGTTAAAATTCCACACCAGCTGTTGTTACCATGAAGGACATGCCTTCCCAACTTATCCCGTTGCCTGAGATGCAGTGACCCTCAGGTTAAACCACCACCAGTCCTTTCTCTCTAATGAGATAGTGGCCCTATGGCCTGGTAGGATTGTGGAACTTTACTTTTTCATGATTTATCTTTTGTGTTTTGTAATATTTGTCAAAGCAATGCTATTTCCTTCTTTCCTTCCTTCTACAAACACCTCTAACACATGACTGGCAATTTCTAGAGGAAGATCACAGATGGCATGTGGCAATTGATAATTTATCTAAGTGCCATATAAGGGAGTTTTTAAGGCACTATTGAGGAGATGTTTGAGATGCAGGCTGCCAACCAAACCACTGTGACCTTCTCAGGTCAGATGCTGCCAATCTGGACTCCAGGAATCAAGGGAGTGAAAAGGTGAAAAACCACATCTTGTTACTTCGTCATCTGAATTAGAGAAAACCAAGTGCAAAGCTGTTAGTTTGCACTTTCAGCAGCTATTGATCAATCCAGATTTGGCTAGTGGTGTGCAACAGACCCAGCTACATTTCCTGGGAGCAGTAAGATACCTTGAAAGGCTAGGTAACTAATTCCTGGATTATTTAAATATCCAGGCCTGGATTTTGAGCAAACAAATCCACTTAGCTTGCCCAACCCCTCACTAAAGGCAAAATGAAACAAGATGAGGGAACATTAGGTTCCCATTTCTCCATTCCCGCAGTCCAAAAAGATCCACTTGATTCACAGTTACAGATTATTTGCATATTATGTACATTTTGTTCAAGATATTGCTTTTGTATCTGAGGAAGAAACCTCCTCTCCACCGAAAGAACTTATACAAGTAAAACTGAATGCCAAATTGTGTCCTCATGAACAAAGGAGCCTCCATGTTTGGAAAACACTAATAAATGCTCCTTAAATGTGGATATTTTCATTCGGTAGAGTGCAGAATTCCAGCACATTGTCTTAATTCAAGCTTAAGTCTCTCTTCTGGTTGATGCACTGTAACTACAAACCTGAAAGAAAGAAAAGCTGTCAATGAAAGCTTCTAACTCACTGAGGAGGTTAAGGCCAATCCCACATTGGTAACCTGCTCTGAAACCTTGCTGACATGTTAACAGCTGTGACAACTCACCACATTCTTTTAAAAGAAGCCACTTGCCAACTGCATCTTTTCCAAAAATACTAATCAGTTATTCCTTCGGCTATACATTATCTATCTACCAAGTATTGTTGAAATTTGGCCACTAGTAATTAAGTTATATTGCTTACAGACCAGATGGATGGGTGAAAATTTTACATCTAGCCCACCTTCAGTGGTGTAGGTAATGAAGAATCAATCAACAGTGCCCTCATGTGGTATGTGTTCGTTTTGAACAAATGCTGTGATGTTCCTACCTGTCAATAACAAAAAAATGTTTTATAAAATGTGTTGTAAATCTGTCAGTAGGGAACTATTAAAAAAAACAGACATTTTGAACATATCTAGGCGCTTGGATAAGTCAATTATAACTAGGTAATAAATTGATTGAGGCTGAAGAAATTAGGCAAGAATAGGAAAAATGTTTGTTGTTTTTATAGCAATTGAGTGATTGGACTTCTTTGTCTTTTTTGTTCATTCATGGCATGTGGACATCACTGGCTAGGCCAGTTTTTGGTGCCTTAACTAACTGCCCTTGAGAAAATGTGTTGATGTAGGTACACTCACATTGCCATTTTGGAGGGAGTTCTAGGATTTTGACCCAGTGACACAAAGGATAAAGCAATGACAATAAAAGGCAAAAAAAAAGACAGTTAAAGATAGTTTAAACATATATAATCTTTATTTTAAAAAAAGGCAAAACAAACTGAAAGAAGCACACCATTTAGTAATCAAAAGACTATGAGTTTATCATTAAGATGTTTTCACTTCTATCCCTTCATCTCTCAGAATCATAATAATTTTTCACAAGTGTTCACTACTTAATATGATGCAGGAAATCTTTTTCAATGATGCCTGAGTAAAATTTGAATGATCTTAAACTGCATTTTTAAAAAGTGATGAAATGTTAGGGTTTTTATGGCTTGTGCTTACCTTTCTCTGAGATATTATGCAGTTAACCTGTATATGAATATCCAAACTCAATCAGAAAATGAAGTCTAGTTAGACACAAGGAGTTTCTCCCTTGCATATAGTCCAACAGAGGAAAGACTGAGATTGTGCTATTTCACTCAGGCATCAATCTCCACTGTGTGGGTAAGTAAGATTCACAAATCAGAAATGAGGGATGAATTAGCAAAATACATTTGTCAAAGGGATCAAGAGTAAAATGTGTCAGTAAGTATACAACAAAATAAAAACAGCACATAAAGGAATCAGGCGACTTCTCTGGAACTTGACTGAAGCAAAGTGTAATTTTTTTTAAAAAAAGCATCTCACTTGATTAAAATATTCAACAGAGAATATAAACTGCTTTCCTTTGGAGACTAGCCATTTATTTTGAAAAAGAGCATATAGAATCTGTTGAAAGAAGTCTTTTAAAGCATGAAGGTTTCTCCTTCAAATGTATTGAGAATCAAATTAGTGACTGAACTATTCAGAGCAACACGAGGTACTCTTGAGAGACTAAGGGGAAGGATTGGAGGGTTGCTTATCCCTCTCTCACAACTCGCAAAGGGCAGGAGAGGGTTGGCAAATTTACCAACTCCGACCCCAAACCTTTGTGAACTTGCCTGCATCTATACTAAAGGCAATGAATTTGGGGGGCATCTAAGTAATGCACACTGAAGAGGCAAGGTGGTAACTGCGCCCTCCATACCTGTTACCACTCTATAAAACTCCCCAATGTAAATGTTCAGTCTACAAAATTCTTAAAGGACTTTTTCCATCAAACACTCGATTCAAAACTATAAATTTCATCTGATTTCTCTAAAGTTGAATTTGTAAAATAATTATGAATAAAATAACTTATTTTATAAGGTATATTTGATTTCTTTGTAGAAACTCAGTAACCCAAAACGTACAATAGAGTGAAAAATTTTATGCTTTGTGCTTACCCTGTAAAATGATAGGAGAACATGTTAAAAAAATAACATTCTATAGGATTTACAATTGCACATTGGAATATAATATAACTAGTTTGAACATGAAGTGACAGCAATAACTCTTCAGTATCATTATCTAGACCCATAGTAACATTACTTACGATTGAACAAAAACAGAAGTTGCTGGAGAAATTCATCAGGTCTGGCAGCATCTGTGGGGTGAATGCAAGGTTAACATCTTGAATCCAGTGACCATTTATCAGATAAAGGATCTGATGAAGGGTCACCAGACTCGAAATGCTAATCTTGTTTGCTCCCCACAATGCTGCCAGATGTGCTGAGTTTCTCCAACATTTTCTGTGTTTGTTCCTGGTCTCTAGCATCTGCAGTTCTAAATTTTATATTATTTACTATGGAATTGGAATCAAAATGGGCAATGGCTTTAGCAAATCAGCTTAAAATGGAGACAACAATGAATACTTAACATTCCATTTTTACCCTGGTTTAAACAGAAAAAAAAACTGCAGGGTCTTTGAGCAAATGGTATAAAGTTTTATTTCTTGTCAATGAGTCTCTGAAGTTTTCTTTTAAACCTGGGGAAAGTGTGATCAGATTTCTGAATCAGTTTACCATGATCACAATGAGTTTTCATTTAGCCCCAACTACTGGCTGGTCTTGTAATTTAATATATGTACATCTTTAAAGCTAAGACTAAAATAAGCATTGATTATGTAATTAGAAAATTAGACAAGAATCATTCTTCGTCATCTTTGGCTATTATGCAGATTTTCCTGAACAAACAAAGAAGAATAAGTAAGACAAAGGTGAATGTTGCTGTTGTTTTGTAAGGCACCATTTGCAAGGTGTCCTTGTAAGGGCGAGACATCCTCAGTTTGGCATTATTGTCTCATCATAAACGTCTATTCCTTCTTTCTCGTCAAAGGTAGGTTCTGCTTCATCACCATCCAGCTACATCAAACAAATCAAAACATTGTTACTTCATTGAATTCCAGGTTGGGCATTGATGCTGCCATCTTGATGCTGCTATGGGTCCATACTATTTTACAGAAAGACAAATGATCAACTTGCTTTCCACATTGAAAAGCGTAAAATCTCAGTAGATCAGACAGCATCTCTGGAGAAACAAGAGTTGACATCTCAAGTGTTTGACCTGATGTCAATTTTGACAGAAAAATGCATTCATAGCAAAATAAAAATATAATATCAGAAAAAATAGCCAAAGAAACATCATCCAGAGATAGTAGGAACTGCAGATGCTGGAGAATCTGAGATAACAAGGTGTAGAGCTGGATGAACACAGCAGGCCAAGCAGCATCAGAGGAGCAGGAAGGCTTCCTTAGAAGAGGCTTCGCAGTGGGGTTAAAATTGTTTCAGAGATAGTAGGAACTGCAGATGCTGGAGAATCTGAGATAACAAGGTGTACAGCTGGATGAACACAGCAGCCCAAGCAGCATCAGAGGAGCAGGAAGGCTGATGCTGCTTGGCCTGCTGTGTTCATCCAGCTCTACGCCTTGTTATCAAAGAAATATCATGGTCATTTAAGTCCTTGGGTGACAAGCAGAAATCTTGAAAAGGCAGCAGTGATATTAATAGGTGACAAAGAAGGCATAATGAGAGAAATTAAAAACAAAATGACACATACAGGATACATGGAATGTGTGAGTTAAAGAAGAATAAACATAAAGGGAAGAAAGATAATTCAGTGGATGAAGGGAAGCAGGTTCTTACAAGGCTGCGAGCGCAGTATCCATGATGTTCCAATATAGTCCCAAACTAAGCATCAGCATGCTGTCTACCAGCCTTTAGAAACACTGTCACATCTATCCCCCATTGTTAGCACCTACTGCCAGAGGGAATGTTAGAGCAATAATTAGGGTCCAAGAGAATCAAAGTAAATGATACTGACAGAGGCTAGAAAGATAACGTGTTCATGAACTTATAAAGAGTTTCATTGGAACAGTGTAGAACTGCAAGGACAGGGTGAGAGATGGAGAATTTAAATGGTACTTCAATAGGGAGCTTGGAATGTTGGGGGAATGTGAACAGAATGAAAATGTTGATCAAAGCATTAAGCTAGTCATAGTTTGTTTACTCCAATGTCAAATGGCAGCACATGATGAAGATATGGATAAGTAAACCAGGATGTCATAAAGAATAGAGCAATAAGTGTGGGTGACTTTAATTTTCATGTTGATTGGATTAATCAAATTGGAAAGGCTATCTACCGCAATGAATTCATACAGTGCTTCAGAGAAAAATCCCTAGAGCAATATGTCATGGAATCATCCATGGGAGCAGGTTATCTTTGATCTGGTAATAGTTAATGAGACAGGTTTAATAAATGACCTCAAAATAAAAGATCCCTTGGAAAGTAGTGATCATAACAATAGAATTTAACATTCAGTTCGAGAGTGAGAAACCTGGGGCAGAAACAAATATGTTTTAATTACATAAGGGGAATTACAATGAAATGAGGATACAGTTAGTTAAAGTCAACTGTGTGGATAGATTAGCAGAATTGGAGTAACCAAGACTGGTTGTGTGTAGCAGTAGTTCTTAAAGGGAGTGCTGCAGATCACCACTGGAAAAGAAACTTTATTCAAATATTTTTCCAGAATTTTGTTGTTTCTGACTCTGGAAGTTGTTTCAGTTTTAGTAATGTCAGTGAAACATTTTGTTTCCAGGTACTCCAATAAATTGTTAATATTGAAACAAAGTTTTCTAATAAAGCATCATCAAAATTGATTTTCATAAAGTACAATGACAAATCAAAATAATGTGATGGAAAAATGACCTTTATGCATCTCAAAAGGAGAAAAACCTAAACCTAATTATCCAATACCTATTGTAAGTTCCAGGACATGGCAGAAAGGATTTAACAATGTGAAGGAGACACTTTCAATATGTAAAATTGCTTATATTTAATTGTGTAACCCTAACATTGAGCAGATGTCTCAATGAGGACAAACAAGAGAAGGTTGAAACTTTTTCTTCACCAAAATACACAAAAGTTCCATAGAGCAGATAATAAAAGTCAACATAAGCCTGCTTCATGAAGAATGGACAAAAGAAACCTGTTTTCTAGAGTTCATAGAGATGTATAACATGGAAACAGACCCTTCGGTCTAACTTGTCCATGCTGACCAGATATCCTAAAGTAATCTAGTCCCATTTGCCAGCATTTGGCCCATATCCCTATAGATCCTTCCTATTCATGTATCCATCCAGATACCTTTTAAATGTTGTAATTGCACCAGCCTCTATCACCTCCTCTGGCAGCTCATTCTACACATGTACCACGCTCTACTTGTAAAAAAATTGTCCCTTAGGTCCCTTCTAAATCTATCCCCTCTCACCTTAAGCCTATGCCCTCTACCTACCCTGGGGAGAAGACCTTGACTATTCACCCTATCCATGCCCCTCATGATTTTATAAACCTTTATAAGGTCACGCCTAAGCCTCCTACGCTCCAAGGAAAATAGCTCCAGCCTATTCAGCTGCCATTCTATTGTACGTATTCCTGGAAGTTTCATCACATGACCATTCATTTCCAATTGTCCCACCTTCACTGGTGGACGAACACACCTATTAATCATTGTGCACTGCCTGCCCACGCCAATTGAAAGGCACATTTTCTCTGTTACTCCATCAGATGAATTGTCTGTCGATATTATTACAGCTAGCAAACAAAATTGGTCAAATAAATTATTTTTAAAATTAGCATTTTTGGAGTACCAATGATTCTTCTCTCTTTTGTTTGTAATGGTGTCCAGAAGATTAACTTTTAATCTTCAGCAGATGCCAAACTACTGTTACTGTGGATTTCAGCACCATAGGCTTATGCCATCTTACAGAAGATAAATTCAGAAGACTTTCTTACTCAAGTATTTAAATACTTACACTTCTCATCTCTACTTTTGTGAAGATCTTGTTGAGTACAAACATTCTGAGGGGAACAGTCAGGATGAGCACGAAGGGGAAAGCCAAGGCTGCTACAGACTTGTTGATTGCCCACAGAATTGCAATGCATAGAATCTGAATGATAGTAAACAAATGCATGCGCCTGGTTCGAACCTAGAGAACAAATAATGACATTTTGAAGTCATATTCGGGAAGGATCCAAAGCTTTTAACACTCAGTCTGTGAGAAATGACTTTGTTTTTTTTTTAAAAAAGGTACTTTCCTTTTTTGCAACGGTTATTCTAGATCAGATTGTCATTGACTTTGCTGGTACCCTTGAAAGAAAGTGCAATATTCATCATGCCCTATTTTGTTACCAATAGATGGAGCCAGTCATTCACTGCACTTGTCCTTGAAAGTTCTAAGAGTGATTTTGTGCTGGACTATCCTCTAATTAAGAGTGATTTTGAAGCAAAAGCCTCAGAAAAGTTCGGCGTTCTCTGTGAAAAAGGCAGACATTCTGTCATCAAATACTTTGTGACGAGCATAAATTTTGATCCAGAGACAAGTTAGAATATTTAATCTGCGCTGAATCGTGTATAGAAACCAAAATAAACAGTGAAAGAAAGATAGGATTAATAGAAATTTGCTGATTTTGGAGCTTAACTGCACATTGGTGTTTGCAGAAAGTTTCTATCCACTTTACACTTTGGCAGTTGGCCTCACTGTTATATCTACATATAAATCTGATCCATTGTGACCAATACCTGCCTCTTCAGTAGATCATATTGCTTGAATGCAAGAACTAACCTTGCGGACATAAACGCAGTCTGGGTGATATTTAGGTGGGACCAGGAGCAGGAGTATTCGATCAAATAGCTGAATTCCATTCAAAGATGTCACTCCCATGTACAAAAAGATTCCAAACAGAACAGCAAGTGGGATCATACGCAAAACTCTTCCAATGACAATAGATACACCTGTAAAATTAAGTCATTCAACATATTGAGAGGATTTTTAATGGATTGGATTATAACCAAGCTTTATATTTGTTTGCCTAAATAATTCGTTCACAATTTTTCAGCGAATGGTCAGATGGTGGAGCTATCAGTGCAATGTGATAGATAACAATGTGACCCTTCTGAAGAATGGTCCAGACCCAAAACGTCAGCTTTCCTGCTCCTCTGATGCTGCCTGGCCTGCTGTATTCATCCAGCTCTACACCTTGTAATCTCAGACTCCAGCATCGGCAGTTCTTACTATCTCAATGTGATGGATAATATTGGTTTCTTACAGCTCTGCCAGTCACAATATAGTTGTCTTTGTTATTCAGTACTTAGTCTTGTACACTTTTTCAGCTTACTGATATCTGAATACTGGCAACTTTTCCATTTTCAGAGAACTATTAATTGAAACATTGAGGAGCTTAAAAGATGTACAAGTGAATGCACCTGGCTATGACCACAGTGCTGTTTTGTGACACATTGCTGTGTGCAAATCAGTTGTGGTATAATGTACATTACAACAATAACTACACTTCAAAATAAATTATTCATGCTGTAACTTGCTTGGGACATCAAGTCTGTGAAAGACACAAAGGGAATGCAAAACTTTATATTTGTTGTACAATTTGAAGATAAGCATAATGTTTCTTTGGTGCTTCAACCAACATTTGACCTTCACCCAACATGCCCATCATCATATTCCTGATTTTGATACTGTTACTAAGTACAAAATGGGCACTATTTTCATCTACATAACTGCATGCTAAAGCGATTAATTTTTGGAAGTACTTTAGGTGGCTCTATGATTAGACGAGGTACTGTTGTTATGCAATGTACAACTATCATAGTTCCAATTAGACTACAAAGAAATTTTCTGTTTGCTCACAATGTCCTGATAAAACCTCTGCTAGTACTGCAATTGTCATGAATTGGAGTTATAATAGTGTACATTTTGTAAAGAAAGTTAATCTGACTACAAAATGGATGCAACAAATCTCACAAAATAGCTTCAAGTAGCCCTATACCTTCCCTTATGGACTCAATAGCAAATGGAACAAAGTGTACTTATCTCTAGAAGAATCTCAAGAGACCTTTGCAAATTCAATGAACATTTCCAAGAGTGAATGAAAATCCATGATAATGGCTTCCCTGGAGGTGTGAATAGCTCTTTTGACATCACAAAAAAAGTTAAAGATTGAGCTTTCTCCATACTCGTAGCTGAGACAGTTAAAAGGTTAATTATCTTGGCTAAAAGACAATGGGTGGAACTGCACTCCAGATCTAGGTTAAACCAATACCCAATGTGGAAGCATGATTCAACAGCTTGGGCATGCACCCTTTTTAAGTTTTGAACTCATTAATAAATCTGGCACAAAGTAGATACATCGAGGAAAATTATTTAAACACAATGAGAGAAATAACCACAGCTCCTTAACAGGGAGATAAAATGAAGTACAGAATAGCTGTACTGAACCAAGCTATCTCGAACCAAGATATTCTGATGAAGAGTCCTCGGACTCAAAACATTAACTCTGCTTTCTTCCCTCGCATGTAGCCAGACCTGCTGAGTTTCACCAGCAGTTTCTGATTTTGTTTCAGATCTCCAGCATCCACAGTTCTTTGTTTCATGAAGAGCCACCAACCCGTACAGCTCTAAAAATGAAACAAAACAGCCTCTACTCACTAGATAGCAAGGTGTAGAGCTGGATGAACACAGCAGGCCAAGCAGCATCAGAGGAGCAGGAAGGCTGACGTTTCGGGCTTAGACCCTTCTTCAGAAATGGGGGAGGGGAAGAGGGTTCTGAAATAAATAGGGAGAGAGGGGGAGGCAGATAGAAGATCGATAGAGGAGAAGATAGGTGGAGAGGAGACAGACAGGTCAAAGAGGCGGGGATGGAGCCAGGAAAGGTGAGTGTAGGTGGGCAGTTAGGGAGGAGATAGGTCAGTCCAGGGAGGATGGACAGGTCAAGGGGGTGGGATGAGGTTGGTAGGTAGGAGATGGGGGTGGGGCTTGAGGTGAGAGGAGGGGATAGGTGGGAGGGAGGACAGGTTAGGGAGGCGGGGATGAGCTGGGCTGGTTTTGGGATGCGATAGGGGGAGGGGAGATTTTGAAGCTTGTGAAGTCCACATTGATACCATTGGGCTGCAGGTTTCCCAAGCGGAATATGAGTTGCTGTTCCTGCAACCTTCGGGTAGCATCGTTGTGGCACTGCAGGAGGCCAAGGATGGACATGTCGTCTGAGGAATGGGAGGGGGAGTTGAAATGGTTCACGATTGGGAGGTGCAGTTGTTTGTTGCGAACCGAGCGTAGGTGTTCTACAAAGCGGTCACCAAGCCTCCGCTTGGTTTCCCCGATGTAGAGGAGGCCACAACGGGAACAGCGGATGCAGTATACCACATTAGCAGATGTGCAGGTGAACATCTGCTTGATGTGGAAAGTCTTCTTGAGGCCTGGGATGGGGGTGAGGGGCGAGGTGTAGGGGCAGGTGTAGCACTGCCTGCGGTTGCAGGGAAAAGTGCCGGGTGTGGTGGGACTGGAGGGGGCCTCTACTCACTCACAGAATCTTTTCTGCTCAGTCCCCTTTTGAAGCAACCTTCATTTGTTCAACTACAGAAGATATCACATCTGCTGAATCTGCATTTTGCCTCTTCACTTCAGAAAGAGAATCTCCGTACAAGCCAGGCTTGCTATAATATTATGACTGATCTCATTTTCCTGTTCATATGCAACTTTAACATTACTTAAAATCTTTGTACCTGTATTTTAACTAAGAAAATAGCTAACAAAAAATGTTCAGCTGTGTTTGCATTTTAAACTAATCTTTTATCTTGTTCAAAGTATAAAGCTGTGCTGTTGATTATTTTGCAAATTGAAACACTCACCAACTAAAAAGAATCTACATATGAACTCATACAAATTCATAATTCATGGACCACTCTGAGGAAATGTGTAGTCTGTGATCATGACAAAATGCTTGAGATTGGGATGGCTGACATTACCACAATATATCAGTACATTGAGTCAGCAAATCCATTTTGCGAAACATTTTGCAAATTACATCTATTTTAAATCTTTTAAACACATTTTTCACAAACATAGGTTATTAATTAAAATGCAGAAATATTCAATGTAAACTAAAACAAAAGGATAATTTCATCCTTAAAAACTTTGCCGCACCACAAAGATGCTGGTTAATTATGGAGCAGCAGTGGGTGAGATTGAGAAGCATAGAGAGAGAAAATGTCTATGATTTGTCTATAAATGTCTCAGATGTGCAGGGCCACAAACAAATAGCAAATTTTGTAAAGAATGAATTCTGAACAACAAATGTAAACATGCACAACAAATATTAATGTATGTATTCCAACAGTTATTAACCTTATACTGTGTTATTTGTCCTATATAATAAATTATTATTATATGACTGACCTGTCAGGGCATAAGTGCTTCTAAGTGATGTCAACCTGCGATACAACTCACTGAGTAATGTGCTTAAATGACAGGCTTGCTGCAGCAAATACCTAAAAAAATCCTTACGCTGACTAATTTGTTCTTACTCACCCACTAGAATAGCAACCACTAGTCCAGTTATTCTCTGTTCCTTTACTTCTTGAATCTGAGGTTTGTCACCTGGTGCAACAGATTTGCTCATCACAGTTAGGGCGTTAGCATGAGTGACAGTCCTCACAGTGGCAGCACTGAGCCAAGGCACTCCAAAAAGGGCACTAATTCCACCCATTACCACAATCAACAGCAAGTCCACATGGAATCCAGAGCCTTTCACCAGCTTCCGATCTGCCTTGCTAATGATAAGTCTGAAAGAGAAACAAAGAACTGGTTAGACAGTTGCATTTTTTATTTAGTGAACGTAGCCAGAGATAATCATTCTGAAATGGTTACCTTACATTTGTAATGTATGGGGTTAATGTCTGTACATTAATAGCTAGACTGCATCATAACTGATATCGGATCATATGGAATTGGAACCTGAGTAAAGAAGGTCATAATGAAGACCCACTGAGCCATGTCTCCATCCCAGTAGATAGCTAGTCAATGTTTATCAGTTTGTCTGGTGTCCAGTTTATGCCTGTCTAAGGCTCCTTGAACCTGCTCATGATGTTTATAAAAGGGTAGTGTACTGGGGCCAAAATGGAACTGGAAACAAAGGAGAAGATAGTAGAATGGTCTTCATAGAGTCATAGAATAATACAACATGGAAACAGGCCCTTTGGTCCAAACTGGTCCATGCTGACCATGGTGCCCACTCAGCTAATTCTAATTGCCCGCATTTGGTCCATATTCCTCTAAACCCTTCCCATCCATGTACCTATCCAAATGTTTTTTAAGTGTTGCTATTGTATCTTCTTCAACCACTTTCTTAGACAGCTCATTCCATATACGCGCCACTCTCTGCATGAAGAAGTTGCCCCTCATTTCCTTCTTAAATCTTCCCATCTCATCTTAAACCTACCACCTCTAGTTTTCAATTCCCCATCCCTGGGAAAAAAAAAGACTATATGCGTTCATCCTATCTATGCCCCTCATGATTTTATACATCTCACCCCTCAACCTCCTACATTCCAAAGAATAAAGTCGTATCTTGACCAACCGCTCCCTATAACTCAGGCCTACTGGACCTGGCAACATCCTCGTAAATCTTCTTTGCACACTTTCCAGTTTAATTTTGTCTTTCCTATAACAGGGTGACCAAAACTGTACACAATCCTCCAAGTGCAGCCTCACCAATGACTTATATAACTGTAACATAAAATCTCAACTCTTATATTCAATGCCTCGACCAATGATTGCCAGCATGCTAAATGCCTTTCTCACCACCCTGTCCACCTGTGACACCACTTTCAATGAACTATGTACTCAGAATCCTAGGTCCCTCTGCTCCACAACACTCGTCAGGACCTTACCATTTACTGTATAAATTCTACCTTGGTTTGACCTTCCAAAGTGCAACACTTCACACTTATTTGTATTGAATTACCTTTGGCAATTGTCAGCCCATTTTCCCCATCTGATCAAGGTCCCTCTGTAATTTTTTGACAACCTTCTTTGCTATCAACAATACCTCCTAATTTTGTATCATTCACAAACTTACTAATCATGCCTTGTACGTTCACATCCAGATCATTTATGTAAATAACAAATAACAAAGGTCCCAGCACCGACCCCTCTGGCACACCACTCGTCCTAGGACTCCAGTCTGAGAAACAACCTTCAACCATCACCTTCTGCCTTCTACCATTGAGCTAGTTTTGAATCCAACTAGCTAGCTTTCCCTGGATCCCATGCGACCTAACCTTCATGACTAGCCTGCTGTGTGGGACCTTGTCAGAGGCCTCACTGAAGTTCATACAGACAACATTCAATGCCCTACCCTCATCTATCCTCTTGGTTACCTCTTTGAAATACTCTAAAAGAGTTGTCAAACTTGACTTTCTGCACACAAATCTATGCTGACTATCCCTAATCAGACCTTGACTATCGAAATGTTGGTTGATCCTGTCCCTCAGTATCCTCTCCAATAACTTTCCTACCACTGATGTCAGGCTCACTGGCCTGTAGTTCCCTGGCTTGTCTTTGCTACCTTTCTTAAACATTGGAATAACATTAGCCACCTTCCAGTCTTCTGGAACTTCATCCGTGGCTAAAGATGAAGCAAAAATCTCTGCAAGGGCCTCTGTAATTTCTTCCCTAGCATCCCATAACATCTGAGGATGGACTTGATCTGGCCTAGGGGATTTATCCACCTTAACGTGATCTAAGGCTGCAAACACCTCCTCTCTGGCAATGCGTATGTAGTCCAAAACATCTCCACTTGCTTCCCTTATTTCCTTAACATCCATGGTTCTCTCATTAGTAAACAATCTTAGACAAATTAGTAGGTTTTATAAAGAAGAGGAGAGGATGATGGAAAGGGATTGAATTCCAGAGCATTAATCTGGATGGTTGGGAAAGTCATGGGCACCAAATTCAGCATGAAGAGAAACAAAACACATAACAGATTAGAATGAAACAAATGGAGATCTGCGTGGTACATGGCTATAGCGCAGTGGGGGCTTAAAGAGATAGAAATGTACAAAGGAATAAGGAATATAAAGGGTTCTAACAGAAGGATAAGCATTTTAAAACTGAATTTGAAGGGATTCTAGATCAATAATGAAAACATGTTGAATTGGTGTGGAACAGGATACAAGTAGAAGGGCTTTTTGAAATTTATGGGAGACTGGCCTGCTGAACATGGGAATGGTTGAGTCTGGAGGTGGCAGATGCAATGATGAGAGAATATAAGCCAGAAGAGTGACAGAAAGGGAAGAATTGGTAAATATGTCAAGGTTTCCTTTATTCCAAACAACTATTAAAATAACCAATAACTAAAACTAATGATTCCATCGTAACTCTAACTTTCCATGTTTATTTCTGTGATAATTCCAGATTCAAAGATATATCCCTTTTAAAAATCATAGATTCATAAAATCCCTACAGTGTGGAAAGAGGCCATTCAATCGATTGAGTTTGCACTGACCCTGAAATGAACATCTCATCCTATCCCTGTAACCCCCATTTGCCATGCCTAATCCACCTAACCTGCACTTCCCTGGACACCTCGCGACAATCTAGCATGGCCAATCCATCTAACTTGCACATCTTTGCATTTTATAGTGCAAAGGAATTTGAAAGAAAACGATAATGGATAGTGGATAATGCCATTTGTCATCCTGACTTTCTGCTCTAGGATGTCCTTCAAATAACTTTGCAGCTATATTTTCAGTCACGGCTCATTCAACATGAATGAGGCAGGGAATAAACAACATATGATGTAAAGAGAAGCTGCCCTTGTGTGAATTCATCATTAATTTGGTTCTCAGTAGTTAAACATGAATTTGGCTTTTGAACTCAGTTTTTACTGTGGAGAAAGAAATGGAGGCTAGTGAACTCAGGGAAATAAATATTGCTGTTTTGAATACAGTTCACATTACAGAAGAGGAAGTGGTGGAGGTCTTAGAAAATCTAAAGGTTGATAAATCTCTGGGACCTGATCTAGTGTATCCCAAGATGTTGTGAGAATTTAGAGAAGAAATTGTGGGCTCCTTGCAGAAATATTTGTATCATTTGTAAACGTGGTTGATGTACTGGATAACTGGAGAGTGGCTAATGTTGTGTCTTTGTTTAAGAAGGGATGTAAGGAGAAGTCTGGGACCTGTAGACCTGTGAGTCAGACATTGGTAGTGGGTAAGCTGTAGGAGGTTATTCTGAAAGACAGGATTTATATGCATTAGGAGAGGCAAAGAATGATTAGGGATAGTCAGCATGGCTTTGTGCGAGGGAAATCATGTCTCACAAACTTGTTTGAGGTTTTTGAGGAAGTAACCAAGAAGATTGATGAGGATAGAGTGGTAGACATTGCTTACCTGGACTTTAGTAAAGCCTTCGACAAGGTTCTGCATGGCAGACTAATGGGATTCAGGGTAAGCTTGCCAATTGGCTTAATGGCAGGAGACAAAGAGTAATGGTGGAGGGTTGTTTTTTGGACTGGAGATCAGTGACCTGCAGTGATCAGTGCTGGACTTACTTTTGTTTGTCACTTATTTAAATAACTTAGATGAAAATATAGAAGGAATGTTTAATAAGTTTGCAGATGACACCAAAATTAGTGGTACAGTGGACAGTGAAGAAGGTTATCTAAGATTACATAGAGATCTTGATTAATTAGGAGATTGGGCTGAAGGGTGGCAGATGGAGTTTAATTTGGTTGAATGCAAGGTATTGTATCTTGGTAAAACAAATAAGGGCAGGACTGATACAATTACAAATAGGGCTCTGGGCAGTGTTGTAGAACAGAGAGACTTAAGGGTTCAGGTACACAATTCTTTGAAGTTTACATAAGTTTACATTTGGACAGGGTAGTTAAGTAGGCATTTAGCACGCTTGCCTTCATTGCTCAGACCTTTGAGTACAGGAGTTGGGATGTAATGTTGAGATTGGTGAGGCCTCTGGCGTACTGTGTGGAGTTCTGATCACCCTGTTATAGGAAGGATATTATTAAGCTGGAGAGGGTTCAGAAAAGATTTACCACGACGTTGCCGGGAATGGAAGGTTTGAGTTATTTGGAGAGATTGGATAAGCTGAGACTTCTTTCACTGGAGTGTAGGAGGTTGAGGGGTGACCTTATAGAGGTTTATTTAGTAATGGACGGTATAGATAAGGTGAATGGTAGGTGCCATTTCTCTAGGGTGGGTGAGGACTGGGGGCATATTTTTAAGATGAGGGGAGAAAGATATAAAAAAGGTATGAGGGGCAACTTTTTACAGAGAGAGAGGTTTGTATGTGGAATGAACTTCTAGCGGAAGTGATGGATACAGGTACAGTTACAATGTTTTAAAGACATTTGGATAAGTACATGAATAAGAATTGTTTGGAGGGATATAGGCCAAGTGCAGGTAGATGGAGCTAGTTCAGTTTGGGAATGTGGTCACCAGAGACTGGTTTGACTGAAAGGTCTGTTTCTGTGCTGTATGATTGTACGACTCTATAAATATACATTTATCAATACTCCGGGACATAGAAACTGCCCTCAAGGCACTTACGTTGTGATTTGAGATTCCATGAAGACAAGGATAAAAACTAACATGGCTGGAAGAGCTGCACATATCATCATCCACCAAGGAAAATTTTTAGTCGGGTTGATGAACCAACCTCTTTTGTGCGGGCATGTCACCTGAAGACCATCTGGAACAAAGAGTTTCTACAATGAAAAGAATTAAATTGAGTAAATAGCTTTGTAAAATAAACAATCATGCATATGGTAATCAACACCATTGAGAGAGATTAATTTTTGGTGAGCTCAAAATCAGACCTGTTCACAAGCCATTCTCATGTTTAACTACTGAGAACCAAATTAATGATGAATCCCATAAAGGCAGCTATTTTTCACATCATTTGGTGTTCATTCCCTCATTCTATAGAGCCTCCCACATTTACCGAATGGAAGTAAATGTTGATCAAATGTTGATCAGATTTTTGAATTTTGGGAGAGGTTAGATAGGCTGGGACTATTTTCCCTGAAGCACAGGACACTGTGGGGTGACCTTATAAAGATCTATAAAATAACAAGAGGCATAGATAAAGTAGATATTCGACAGCTTTTCCCCATGGTAGAGTCTAAAACTAGAGGGTACGGGTTTAAGGTGAGAGGGAAGAGATACAAAAGGGTCCAGAGGGGCAATTTTTTTTACACAGACGGTGGTGAGTGTCTGGAATGGGTTGCCTGAAGTAGTGGTCGCAGCGAGTACAATTTTGTCATTTGAGAAACAGTTAGGCAGGTACATGGATGGGATAGGTATGGAGGGATACATACCAAATGCAGGCAAATGGGACTAATTTAATTGTGAAAAATGGGCGGGCATGGGCAACTTGGGCTGAAGGGCCTGTTTCCATGCTGTAGACCTCTATGATTCTAACCAAAGTTTAGGATTTCCAAAATGTGCAGGTTTTAACTCTGGAGTGTAACTAACCAGGAACATATAACATAGCAACACAGGTATAAAAGGTAGAAATATACAACAACAACAGGAAACACAGGAGATATACAACAGGTCTAACAGTGTCTGTGGAGACAGTGCAGAGTTAGCATTTCAAGTCAATAAACTTTTGTCAGAACTAAAAATAATTAGAGATGTAACAAATTTTGATTAAGCACAGAAGTGCAGGAAGTGGCTAAGGCAAAAGTTTAAAAGGCAAGGTGGGTAATAGGGTGGAATCCTGCAATTAAAGGACAAAAGGAATGATGGCGCAAGGCAAAAGGTGGTGGTAATGAAAGAAGTAAAGAAGCAGAAGACGGATCTTAAGGAGATTTAAACAGGCAAAGCAGAATCACAAACAAGGGCTGCTGTATAATGAGAAATTAAAAGCAGGGCAAGGGTTATGACCTGCAAACGTTGATCTCAGTATCAATACTGTAAGGCTATAAATTTACTATTTGGAAGGTTAGGTGCTGCTTTTTGAGTTTACTTGAGTTTCACTCGAACATTACAGGGAACCAGGGACAGACAGGTTAAAGTGGGAGCAATGAGAGAATTAAAAGGTGATACTTTGATAAACTGAACAGCAACTCATTTTTTGTTTAGGTACAACACTGAATTCAATTATTTCAGACAATACCTTTGACCTTCTTTATGTGTTTGGTTGATTTTGAGTGGAAGACGTTGGGGCTGATTCCATGTTGCTCATTCAAATTTCCCCATTCCCAATTCTTGTTTCTTTATTTGTTCCATATCTATCTTCTTTTGGTCTTCATCATTAGACTTTTCATCATTTAAACTCTTTTGCCATCCCCATCTCAGAATCAGTCCATCTTCTACATTCACTGCCTCAGTACTGCTTAAAGCTTGTCATGTATATAAAATTTGACAGGTCCGATAGAAGTTCAATGATTTGAAACATTAGTTCTGTTTTCCTCCCTTCACAAATGCTGCTAGATCTGCGGAGAGTTTCCAGGACTTCCTGTTTGTGTTGTAACAATAGAGTGCCGCCAGTCTTCCATCTGCTAGTTCAACTGGAATAGTTCGATATTTGAACCATTCATGTTCAAAGGAATCGGGGGTCAAGTGAAATGAACACAAGCTAACTGTAGAAAACCCACCCATCACAATCCTATCAAAAAGCTTTTGGACACTCGGGCAATAATTTCATAAAATAGCACGGACCAGTCTGCTGCCTGGAAGTGAATTTTCAGTCTGCCACAGAGGCAAACTCAGTTTCAATCTCTCGCTGCCAGACATGTCATCTCAATGCCAGGGAAATCTTGCTTACCTTTCCAGCCAAAGAAAAGTCATAATTGACCAGATATTGATGACTAATCATACTGACCTGTGTGTAAGTGTCTTTAATAAAGAAATCCACCAGCACCATGACAAAGATGGCAATGGGAACACCAAAGTCACCAACAATACGACGGATCTAAAAAGAGGAGGAAATCCACCATAAGCTTCATTATAAATGACCAAAAGCCCATTGCCCATGAGATTAGCTGGATGGAGGAATAATATTGCTTTGAGGTGCAAGTGAGAGGTTTCTCAGGGAATGTTTACTATTCTGTTATCGGGGACGCTTACTGAATAGCACAGTTCATACGTTTGAAGGTGAGGCTAGGGGCGGTTTCAGATGAGATAGGTCTTCATTCATTGCAAGGTAGAAACACTACATCACAGAGTTCACAACCCTGCTACTGGAGCAGATAGTTCATCCAATAGTCAGCTAATGAGTCAAATATGACTAAGAAGATACAAACAAAGCATTCACAAAATTCAATTACTACCAATCCTTGCTGAAGTTATAGTGCACATTTCTTTATTCATACACAGCATGAGGGCATCACTGGCTAGGCAGCATTTATTGCCCCGAAGGCAGCTGTGAGTCAACCATGCTGCTGTTGGTTTGAATTCAGATGTAGGCCTCACCAGGTAGGGATGACAGTTTCCTTCCCTAAAGGACATTGGTGAACTAGATGGGGCTTTCCAACAGTCAGCAATGGATTCATGGTCATTATTAGACTCTTAATTCCAGATATTTATTGAATTCAAATTTCACCATCTGCCATGTGGGATTCGAACCCAGGTCCCCACAACATTACCTGGGTCTCTGGATTGACAGCCCAGTAACAATACCACTAGGACATGGACAGGATTTCTAATTTCTCTGTCAGGCAAAGCCTAGTTAGTTGCACTCTTGCTCTGAACCATGTGGTTTCAGGATTATGTCCCATGTCAGGATCTAAACCTAAAAGTCAAGGTTGACCCTAAGTACCATAGTGAAGGAATGCTTGATTTGTTGTTATTTGGATGACCATTGATTAAAATGACAAAAACAGAATACCCAGTCATTGTCTCATTGCTGCTTATGGGAGTTCATTAGCCTTCTCTTTTCCTTTCCCCCCGTCTCTCTTTCTTTCTGTTCACAATGAGTTGTACAAAGCACTCATGACAGATTACAGACACCATATGGCGATACTAAGGAAATGCCTATTGTCTAATTCAATAAGAAGCTAACGTCACCATAGTCTTACCAGACCTTAGGGCTGCTTTCTCATCAGAGAGAGATGATTGCTGTTGGTTTAACCTGAGGGTCGCCACAGCTCAGGATTGGGGATACGTTAAGAAGTAGAATCCCTTATAGTAACTTCAGCTGGTATGGGGTAGTTTGGGAAGCCTGAAAAGTTGATTAGGTTAAGAGTATTTGGAGATTCTGGTTTGATCTGGAGAATTAGATTGGCTCAGCAAGGCCTGAAGGATTAGTTGGGTTCAGCAAAGTTTCAAGAATTGAGTTTGTATGGAGGCCTGATCATTTGATGTAGGTCGCATTGCCTAGAGAGGTTAGGATCATAGAATTTTTACAGCATGGAACCAGGACCTTCAGCCTATCAAGTCCATACTGGTCATCAAACATCCATCTATTTTAATCCCGTTTACCAATACTTGGCCCATAGCCTTGTACACTGTAGCATTTCAAGTGTTCATCTAAATAGTTATTAAGCGTCTTGAGGATTTCCACCTCTCACACCACTTTATGCAGCAAGTTCCAGATACCCACAACCCTCTGGGTGAAAACATTTTTTGCTCAAATCCCCTCTAAACCTTCTGCACTTTACCTTAAAACTGTGTTTCCTGGTATTGATCCCTCTATTCAGAGGAAATGTTTTTCCCTATTTACCCTACACCTCAAACAGATTCCCTCCCTCAGCCTTCTCTGCTCTAAGGAAAACAACATATTTCTCTTCACAGCCGAATCATTCTAGCCCAGGAACATCCTGGTGCATCTCCTCTGCACTCTCTCCAGTGCAATTACTTCCCATAGTATAGTGACCAGAACTGCATACAGTACTGCAGCTGTGGCCTAACTAATGTTATATACAGCTTCAATCAGTAGGAATTAAAGTAAAAATACCCCCTCTGATCAGTTACTTACTGGATAAAACAATCCACTTTCTTAAATCACTGTTTTATAAAATATAGAGACAACTGGAGGAGGTGGGCTGCATGTTAGGTACTAAAGATATTAACATGCGTAAAATATCAGTTTATCCGGTCAAAAAGATAACTTCTATTCATTAACACATTTAATTTTTGAAAGCATATTCTGCCCAATTTATCTGATTATTCAGACTGATCTTGACTATATAAATAAAGTTAACCAAGCATTTCCTTAGAGATGTCTATTCTGGTCAAATATTGAAAAGTTAAAATTTTAGTAACATTACTTACAGTTCCTGGAAAATATTGACTGGTTTTCAACTTTCTTAAGGAAATGGCTATGAAGAAGGTTCCAAACATGAGAACAAGGGAGAGCAGAGCAGTGTTGGGCTTTGGTATCTCTACATTTTGTGTGTTTCCATCACTCGCAGTCGTATTGTAAGAAGGAAGCAAGGGGTGCGCCTTAAAAATCTGTTTAACAATAACACAGCAATGAGTAAAGAAAACTTCTTTCCATTAAGTGTGTTTTTTCTTTATGAATGAAAACATGATGTTTTTCAGGAACTTTTCTGGCCAACCTTTGGAGAAAGAATGTGTGAGTAAATCAGCAGAGAGAGTGTGATGACATTGCAACTTACTATCTCATTCCTTAAATTGGGAGCCTATACTGACATCAAGAGAGACAATCAAAACCAAATATTAATTGAATTTTTAAAAAATCCTCTTGTGGCCTACACAGCAATGCCATCACATTCTGTGTAGAACAACTCTGTGAGGACATCCATTAAAGTGAAACGGCCCGAGTAAGTAGTTCTATCAAACTTCTCCAGCATTTCAGTGGCCAATTCGTATCTAACAATGAAAAACTTTCTGTACAGATTCGGTTTACCAATCTTCAATGATCAGGAACTGAATCTCAATTTTGACTGGAATTGGATAGATAAGGGTAGAGGAGAGCAATTAACCATCATGACGTTGGCATTATGAGTTCCAAGAGATTTTAACCTTATCTTTCAATATTGGTAGATAGCCACGGCTAAAATGAGAGTAATATAAAGCCACATTATACACGTTTTAGGGTCTCTTTGTGTCCTGGCTATTCTGCCCCCTAGGTTGGCTCAGCAGGAAAGGCAAATACCAGCAGGGCCTTACTGAGACCATTGAAGCCTAATGTGCATTTATTTAAAACAGGATCCCACAGGGTTATCTTTCTTACCTACTGAGAAGAACAGGTTCATATTCTAACCTGTGAGATTTGTAAAGGTATGTTCAGGTGAGTTGCGATGGATAATTCTAACAATGACTAGCTACTACCAGACAGACAAGGTTAACTTCATCCCAAAATATTTTATGAAACATTATGATTACTGATAAGATATTGGAACAAAATTATGTAATTCAGCCCATTGACTCTGCTCCACCATTCAATCATGGCAGATATGTTTCTCAAGCCCATTCTCCTGCCTTCTCTCTGTAACTTTTTATCCCCTTACCACCCACTCACATATCTATCTCTGTCTTAAATACACTCGATTGCTTGGCCACCGCAGCTTTCTGCAGCATTGAGTTCCACTGATTCACCACCCTCTGGCTGAAGAAATTCCTCCTTATCTCAGTTCTAAAGGGTTATCCTTTCACTGTGAGGCTGAGCCTTCGGGTCCTAGTCTTTTTTACTAGTGGAAACATCTTCTCCACATCCACCTTGTCCGGGCCTCACAGTATTCTGTAAGTTTCAATGAAATACCCCTCTTCCTTCTAAACTCCATCAAGTGCTGACCCAGTGGGCTCAACTGCTCATTATATGATGAGCTCTCCTATAAACCTCCTCTGGATCCCCTCTAACAACAACACATTCTTCCTTAGATATGGGGCCCAAAACTACCCACAATATTCCAAATGTGTTCTGACCAGAATGTTATACTGCCTCAGCAATAAATTTTGGTCATGTATTCTACCCCACTTGAAATGAATGCTAACATTGCATTTGCCTTCCTAATTGCCAAATGAATCTGCATATTAACCTTAAGAGAATCCCGAACTAGGACTCCCAAGTCTCTTTGTGCTTTGGACTTCCAAAACCTATCCTCATTTAGAAATAAGTCTATGCCTTTATCTTCCTACCAATGTGTATAACTTATTAAAAACGAAAACAAAGATAAATTCTTCATCATACCTCCATTCTCATTTGGTCAGACTATCCTTAATTGATTTTATTCATTCATAAGATTGCTATCTGCATTATTGGAGGTGCACTTACCCAGTCAACTGGAGATTTTTCCATCACTTTCCTGGCTAGTGCCTTTTGGATCACATTTTGGAAGTGAATTATTTACCACAGACTGCCCATCCTTTGTCCTCTTTTTGTAGTTACAGTGTTTAGATGGTTGCAGCCCCTCGATCCAGCAAAAGGTGCCTGTGGTAAAATGGATAACCCTCTCCCCTACAGCTAATAAACTGCTAGCATGGGTTAGCCAGCTGGGCACACAACATGGTGACAGTTCCACATGTCCCATGTTAATTCCATCAGCAAACGGTTAAGAACCCTGATTGAGAATTAAAGGGTCTCATTTGGCAGCAGGATAAGAAGGTTGACAATGGACCTTCCAGTCCCAAACTGAACTCTGACGGAGCTGAGAAGGTGTCAGAGTTTAGATATCATCACCCCATATCATTAAATGCTCATTCTGCCTCTAAAATTACCATTTACGAGAGTACAGGCTCATTTACTCAGCTCCTTCTTCTTTCATAGTTTGATTAGTTTATACGTACCTTGAATAGTTTGTTGAATGTTTCATAGATGAAAATGAGGGAAATTAAGATGGAGAAAATTTCCTGTGTGAATCGGGAGATGAATCGTACGAGGAAACTGCCTTCAAAGGCAACGAGAATGAAAACGATGAGAATCAACCAGAATCCAATCCAAACTCGGCCAGTCAGATAATTAAATTTCATGGTCACAGAAAACTAGAAGACAAGGATGTAGAGTGACGATCTGTGTGTAAAACATTCTCTGTCAAAATAACAACTATTTGTAACACAGCAGCTTTGTGATTAAGCATCATTCAATGTAACACATACTGTCAAAGAATTTTAACTATTAGTACCATTTGCTCAGCTTAAGAGTTAAGGTACAACTGTGCTCATTATTTGGCTGTGAACCATCTTCATATTTATCTGCATGATGAAGGTTTGAGACTTTAGTTATCTCTTTGCATAGCTGGAATTTGATATAAATGAGGGGTTGGAAGAAGCATCTACATGCGTTCTTTTAACATGGGGTAGCCATTGTACACCAATGACTACACGGTCCTGGTGGAGCAAGGTCTTAGCACATAAACAGGGATGATCAAGATGATCAGAGACCAGGCTCTACTGCACAGATGCAGGTTAATGCACACACCTCTAAATGCCCACCCTCACCACCCTAGGACCTACAGTCCTGCTTGCTTGTGGGTTGGAACTGGTTTGGAGAGGCTGGTCCACATCAATCAGCCCCTGTAAGGTTAACAAGAATTCACCGTCGAGGTCTGCATGCTTCACAAATGGCCAACCAGGTCCTCCAAAGCTGCTTTTAGAAATCATTGTTCGAGCTCTGAGCCCCACTCCCCTCCCTACTTTAATTGACATGCATATTTACATACAAGGCATAGCAACTGTATGGCACATAGCCAGTTTCCACTTTAACCTCCAGGCATCCCCAATGTGTAAACCCATGATTGTGCAAGTGTGTGGTTCAGAAAAGACTTGAAGCTCAATGACAACAGTTGGAAATTTTAAAATATATATTCCTGGAGTCTTTGCCCAGATACAACACATTGGACTTTTGCATAACGATATTACGTCCGCAGGCCAAAGAGAAATTTTTTTTATTTGGTTCATTAACATTTCTAATGCTTTTAAGCAAGTAAAGCATTTCTGAATGTTATCTAATTAATTCAGTTTATAAGTAGTTAATGTGCATGATTGTGCCCTGCATGCTTTCCAATTAGCTGGTGTGGTGGTTCAACATAGCTGCAACGCTTTTTAAAATTTGGTCTTAACTTTACAATGATAAGAAATCTCGAGACTTACTTGATAAAAAGCTTCTTCAAACACTAGGAGAGGACCTGAGAATCCCAGTACAAGTAAGGGTTGAGCACCGATTAGACAGAAAATAACTCCTTGAACGGCTGTTGAGACGATCAGCTCGGAAACACCCATGTCACAACTTGTCTTCTCCTCTGGTAACAAGAGTAAGAATAGTTAGGCACAGAAACATTGTGAGGATGAATCACCCAGTAAGAAACAGCGCAAGTGTTTGACTTCAATATCATTAAAAGTTAGATCACATGAGATTCAGGGTGAGATTGCCAATTGGATACAGAATTAGCTTAATGGCAGGAGGCAGAGAGTGGTGGTGGAGGGTTGTTTTTGGACTGGAGGCCTGTGACCAGCATTGTTGCACATGGATTGGTTCTGGGTTCACTTCTGCTCGTCATTTATATAAATGATTTAGATGAGAATATAGAGGGCCTGGTTCGTAAGTTTGCAGATGACTTCAAAATTGGTGGTATAGTGGACAGTGAAGAAGGTTATCTAAGATTACAAAGAGATCTTGATCAATTGAGTCAATAGATTGCAGAGTGGCAGTTGGTGTTTAATTTGAATAAATGCAAGATATCGCATTTTGGTAAAACAAACATGGGCAGGCCTTCTCCAATTAAAAGTAGGGCCCTGGGCAGTGTTGTAGAACAGGGAGACCTAGGGATTCAGTAACACAATTCTTTGAATTTTGTATCAAATTTGGACAGGGTGGTTAAGAAGGCATTTGACACACTTGCCTCCTTTGCTCAGACCTTCGAGTATACAAGTTGGGACGTCATGTTGAGGTTGTACAGGACATTGGTGACGCCTCTTCTGGAGTACTGTGTGCAGTTCTGGTCACCCAGTTGTAAGAAGGATACTATTAAGTTGGCAGGGTTCAGAAAAGATTACCAAGATGTTGCCAGGAATGGAAGGTTTGAGTTATAAGGAGAGGCTGGATAGGCTGGGACATTTTTCACTGGAGTGCAGGAGGTTGAGGGGTAACCATTTAGAGGTTTATAAAATCATGAGGGGTATAGATAAGGTGAATGGCAGGTGTTTTTTCCCTAGAGTGGGGGATTTCAAGATGGGAGCATATTTTAAGGTGAGAGGAGAAAGATTTAGAAACACATAAGGGGCAATATTTTTTACACAGAGAGTGGTTCATGTGTGGACTGAAATTCCAGAGGAAGTGGTGGATGTGCATACAGTTACAACATTTAAAAGACATTTAGATAAGTACATGAATAAGAAATGTTTGGAAGGATATGGGCCAAACACAGTTAAATTTAGTTTGGAATTATGGTTGGCATGGACTAGTTGGACCAAAGAGACTGTTTCCATGCTGTATGACTCTATGACTATATCTATCATAGAATCATAGAACTCCTCCAGTATGGAGGGAGGCCATTTGCCCATCAAGTCTGCACCAACATTCCGAAGAACATCCCACCCAAAGCCAGACCCCTACCATATCCTGCAACCCTACATTTCCCATGGCTAATCCACCTCACCTGCACATCCCTGAACACTGCGGACAACTTCTGCACGGCCAATCCACCTAACTTGCACATCTTTGGTCTGTGGGAGGAAACTGGAGCACCAAAAGGAAACCCATGCAGAGATAGGGAGAACATGCAAACTCCACACAGATAGTCACCGAAGGCTGGAATCAAACCCGTGTTGCTGTGAAGCATCAGTGCTAACCACTGAGCCACCATGCAGTTAAGTCTAATGTGTAGGTTTTGACCTAAAGATGTAATAATAAATTCAATTTATCTTTTTCAGATTTTAGAGTATAAAGTTTGGACATTTTAATAGGGGTTGATCCATTTAAATTGCTAATTTGTAGCATCTGTTGTCATATCTCAATTAACTGGAATAAATGAAGAAATGAAACTAAGAATTCACACTATTTCATAGGAGTTTCTGGTTGTATTTAGTTATGCTCCATGTGTCTATGTTTCACTTGCGACCATGATAGTTTTTGTCAAGTGCTTTGTTAAATTGAAAAACCAAGGTAAACGGCCAAAGTCCATTATACAGAGACATGGGAAAATAGTTGTGTGAAGTGATATCAATCAAGAAGTGGTAATGTGTTGATGTCATGTTGTAATGGAGTCAGAAAAGATAGAGGTTAGAGCTAAAGAAAAAGGGATAGCTTATCATACACAACAAGGTGTAGAGCTGGATGAACACAGC